AGGCACTGAAAGCGGTTCCGTAACTCGAGCAGAAAGGTTTCGGGATTCTGGATCAGAGCACAAGGGGGGACGGAGCGTTGACTTCATTAACACTTCTCCAACTTAACGTTTAGGTTCAGTGTGCCTCTAACCATTCGGTGATCGCTGCCAGTTTTCACCCTTGCAATCACTGAGACATCACTGAACAGTTGGCATCCGGTCGTCATAATGAAGTCAATCTCATTTTTTGTCGAACCGTCGGGGCTCGACCAGATCCACTTCCTGTGGGGCCGCTTCTGGAAGAAAGAGTTAATCATAAAGAGACCCTCTTTCTCCATAAAGTGGGCCAGCTGCTGGCAACACCGTGTAGTGGGTTTTGGAGGAATGCATGGCTCTGGAAATATCCTCATACATTTCCTCCACCTCCTCATAGGGATGTGCCGAGGTTGGTGCGTAAGCCTGTATGACCTTCAGCGAATACCGTTTGATATTCTGAGTATCAGGTACGCGACCCTCGTCGACACATTCCCAATCTTTACAACGTTGTTAACGAGAGACTTGTGGACGATAAATCCGACACCTCCTTGGGACAGATGGTCGCCCTCCCGGTGATAGAACAAGTTGCTGGACTCGAGGATTGCCGTGTCCTCCCCCTCTCTTCGGACCTCGGATAATCCAAAATCAGTGCAACTTGTCTACCTCTTCTTCCAGCTCCAGTATATTCTCGTCAGTACTCAAGATGCGTGCGTTATATGTTGCCAGGTGGAGTCGTCGTAGGTGGCAACCGAACCTCCACCGGAGATTCTTAGCACCCCCTGCCCCGCTGTTACCATGGTCGCTACCGTAGCCAGGAATAGCGGGGCCGCCGGGGACTGGGGGCCGTCTGTTTGCGTCGTTACTCATGGGGGGATATTTGCCATAGTTGCCACGCTTGGCGAGCGGGTTGGCAACCGCAGTTTTTTATTATATCATTGTTGTTATCAGGAAGATGCTGCTGTCTCTTGCCTGTCTCCCTCTGTCGCCTCTTACGACACCCACTGGAAGATATGGGGTAGTGGATACTAGGCTGCACTAAAAGTATCGGGAATGGAATATTTCCACTGTTCCTGTCATATTAAAATCTTTTTAATTGAAAACTCCTTGGTTTTAAAAATCGAATACCATTTATTTATTTAAAAAAAAGATTCTCGGTCTTGTCACAAGGTTTTGTCAAACTTGTTTAGTCGGTGAGAAAATGGAATTGACTCGAGAAAATTCAAGAGCGATGATTATTTATGATTTTCGAAGTGGTTTAACACAAAAAAAGTGTATTGACCGGATGATTTCTGCATTGGTGATGAAGCCTCATCAAAAACCACAATTTATCGCTGGTTTGCTGAATTTCAACGTGGACGTGTCAAGCTCAGTGATGATCCCCGTCAAGGTCGTCCAAAAACTGCAGTCACCCAAGAAAACGTTGATGCTATGCGTAAGCTGATTGAGGAAGATCGACATGTGACATACCGCGAAATTCAGGCAACTTTAGACATTGGCATGAGTCAAATACAAATAATCTTGCATGAACAATTAGGTGTAAAAAAGTTGTTTTCCTATGGATACCGCATCGCTCTGTGAAGAGCAAAAAGCGGCTCGCGTTACTTGGTGCGTCAGAACTCTCGAAAGATTCCACGCCGGATCCGCAAATGCTGTATACAACATCGTATCAGATGATGAATCCTGGATATACGCGTACGAACCCGAAACAAAAAACAGTCACGAGTTTGGGTGTTCGAAAATGAGTTAAAGCCAGCAAAAATTGTTGATTCACGGAGTATTGCAAAAAAATATGGTGGCCACGTTTGTCTTCGGCCATGTTACGACTATTCCTCTTGAGGGACATAGAACGGTTAATGCAGAATGGTATGCTAGCATTTGTTTGCAACAGGTCGTTTCAGAACTCCGTAAAGAGAACTGCAACCGCCGCATCATCCTCCATCACGACAATGCGAGTTCTCACACCGCACACAGAACAAAAGAGTTTTTAGAGCAAGAAAACATAGAATTATTAGACCATCCGCCGTACAGCCCCGAACTAAGCCCTAATGATTTCTATACTTTCCCTAAAATAAAGAATAAATTGCGTGGACAGAGATTTTCATCACCTGAAGAAGCTGAAACGGCCATTTTGGAGACCCCAACTTCCGAATGGAATGGTTGCTTCAATGATTGGTTCCATCGTATGGAAAAATGTGTCAAATTTCGCGGAGAATACTTCGAAAAGCAATAAATACATTTTTAATTAGTAATGTTATGTCACTTCCTTGATTCCCGAAATTTTCAGTGCCGCCCTAGTATTCTCAACCGCCACTACACGGCCACCACCGTATTGATATGTACAAATTGAGTAATGGGATGTCTTTCGTAATTTTTCTGTTAAAGTATATTTTAATTATGGGTTAATCTAATTGTATAGCGTTATGTTTTTGAGACACTGTAGTGTTATTTCCAATTACAGAGAAACATTACATTACATTAGTACATTTCACTTTACTTTGGTCATCAGTTTCTCTAAAATAAGTCAAAATATATATCACCTGCCACTCATTTTTATCATATAATTATCAATTTTCACTAAGAATAACACAACGAAATAATTTTTTTCCTCAAAAATTTTCCCCGATAATTGATAATAATTTTCACTAAGAATAACACAACGAAATAATTTTTTCCCCAAAAATACAGTCAAAAAAGCATGTGAAGCCATTGAATAAAATTAATTTAAGAAATCATTATGTGCCCGCAATTTGCTCAGTACTAGTGATGCAATAACATGTCAGGTGTGGCGGGGAAGCGAGGGGCAGGGTACGGCGCTAATCTCGCGCATTACGGCAACAAGTTTCGACATAAATTGGTTAGGTACCGAGGTGATCCTGCCCAAGAATGTTCTGCCGAATATTCGGATCTGTAAAAGTTTAAGTTTACTTTCAGCCGAATATTCTTATTCGGTGAAATCTATATGCGGCCCATCTCTACTTCATAGGACATAAAGATGTATTGTTGTGTGTTGGTAAGTACCTCTGCATGGCAGTCATTCACGGCCATTCCCATCATTGACATATATTCTCCAGATACACACTTGGTGCCAGTAGTCACAGCTATCACCTGCAAGAAAAACCTTGGGTAAGTTCAACAGTTATGTTAGGTAAAGGCCTCTGCCCTGCTGTGCACCGCTGAACACAGCCTCCTTCACCCCATTTGGTTCCGTGGGTGGGTGAAAGGGACGACTATGGAAAAAGCCTACGGTAGATAGCAGTAATAACCATTCCGTCAATACCAGACATAAAATACACAGACCGTTCCGTTATCGAAATTTTATTGCTGTCTATCTCCTGGTTTGTTCCCCTCTGTCGCTTCTTACAACTCCCAAGATGGGATAGTGGATAGTCTTGCACCGCCAGCACACGGTCAATTCAAATTTTATTGCTGTCAATCTCCTGGTTTGTTCCCCTCTGTCGCTTCTTACAACTCCCAAGATGGGATAGTGGATAGTCTTGCACCGCCAGCACACGGTCAATTCAAATTTTATTGCTGTCTATCTCCTGGTTTGTTCCCCTCTGTCGCTTCTTACAACTCCCAAGATGGGATAGTGGATAGTCTTGCACCGCCAGCACACGGTCAATTCAAATTTATGATTAATTCATACTTTTTTAATTTATTTGCGCAATATGGGCCTTTTATGATATATATACTGGAGGACCTTTTGTGAATACTGAAAAAATTTTGAATTAAAGAAATTAATTAAAATCTATCGATATTAAAATCATATTTACCCTACTTTACGAACGGCAATAGAACAATAAATTTAGTAGACATTTTTAGACCTTTGCACTTCGCAGGGTCACAGGCTAGATTGGATATGATTTGAATTTCGATGGATTTTTTTTTAACAGAAGAGGGGGCTAACGAGCATACGGTTCACCCGATGTTAAGTGACTACCGCAGCTCATGAACAACCGCAACACCAGGGGAATTGCTGGTGCGTTGCCGGCCCTTTAACTCGATAGATTTTTATTTATTTATTTATTAAATTCAAAATATTTGTTTTTAGCTTTTGTAAAATACATATAAGTACCATAGGCTTCTATGGCTTCTATTACGTTCACATGTTACACCCTATTTTTTTCCAGACGGTAAAAAAGGTTATCTAATATATGAAATTATATATGATAGGTACTTGTAACATTTTTTTAATTTTTGTCCAGCTAATGTCCGTAACGGACGGAACGATTTTGACGGGACGTTCTCTGGCAGATAGCCGATATTATGAGGAGTAACTTTTACTTTGGAGAATGAACTAGGGTTCCGCGCAAAAAAAATTCAATCGTAACAAATCCGATTCAAATATGAAAGTATAACTGTGACTTGGTGCTAAAAGGGCCAAAATATGTGTGGCCGTAGAAGAAAAAAGGGAAGATCTCCCGCCGGGCAAGGTGTTCTGCCCGGGGAGCAGCCGACACTCCGTGTGATAGTTCGGAGATGTCCTATATATACTGTTTATTATTCAGAATTTTGATAGCGTGATTTAGGCTTCGGTGTGTTTCGCTTGCGGCGCGACGACAGCGCCGCCACATATGTTTTTATTAAACAGTACAGTATTGTACAGTAGCACCTATTTTATTTTATTAAACAGTATGGAAGTACACATTACAATGGCCTTTTTTTACATAGTATCTTTTGAAAGACAATAAACGAAAAATCAATAAACGTACGCCACTTTTAGCACAAACAAGTTTCATATTTTTCAATAATATGGTTTTATCTCATTTCTTAGAAAACGTACTTTTGTCACAGAATTATAAATTACTAGAAATTATTCTATGCGAATGAAGTCGTCGAAACGTCTAGTCACTAATACATTTAATAAAACAATTTATACAATACATCATTTTCATTTGTATACAGTATTTACACATTTTATCCAACAGAATGAATTGTGAACATTTTATCCAACAGTATTGTAAAGAAATTCAAAACAATCATACCCTAGCACCTTCCACGCTGTGGTTGATGGTAATCACAATGCCGGCGAGCACTTTTCGCTTGGAGTGCACCAGGTCACCGCGCATCAGCTCGTTGAATTTATCATTTACTAATCTGAAACGTTTTCGAAATTAGAAAAGTTGCTAAAAGCGCAGGTAGACATTAACATCGTTCCGTCATACAAGGGATTAAGAGTCAGGGTACAAAACGATGTGTACTAGGTGTATAAGATTTGGTTTTAACAATTTTCCCCCATAAACCTTAAACTGGAATAGAATCTTTTAAAAAAAAAATATCGATCTCTGTGCCAATTTAAGTTAATTTGTCCTCGATTTCTTTTAGGATTGTATCATTATGGGTACATTGTGGTGTACGTGTTGCAATTCAAAGGATATCGTTAATTTATTCCTATAGTCTCAAAACCACTGCTGGAATAAGGCCTCCCTGATAGATCGCTTAATTTTGGGACATTTGCCATAGTTGGCATGCTTGCCAACTGCAATTTTTGATCACTTTGAATTCTTACTGCTGACCATCTTCTTAGTTTCCTTTTATCGCCTTATACGACAGAGACGGGATGATGAGATAGTAGATTTTTTTATATATAAGGGTGACAAATGGGCGCACATTCCACCTGATGCTAAGTGGATGCTGTGGACAATGGATTTGTCCTCATACATTTATCCTTGAAGAATCAAAACGCATATCGTTGTCACTCCCGAGAACTAAGATGGAATGCCTCATTTCCAGTAAGAACGGGTCTCCGGATCTCACCATACGAAACACAGCAGCATTAAGCTGCTATTTCACGCTGATATTCTGTGAGAGCGTGGTCCTTCCCCGGTCGAGCCGACCCATTCGTGCCACAACTATATTATATATAGCTGCAGCGTGGCTCTACCACGTATAAAAATTCTTTTACATCACAGCAATACGGCAAAAAAATTTTAGAAATAATTAAAAAAGTGTAAGATATAGTAAACGTGTAGTGAGTAGCGGGGTAAGAATATCTACAACCCATATCACGGGTGCTGTAAGAGGCGACAAAAGGATGCTGAATCAGAAGATCGACAGAAGCAATCTCCTGATAACAGCTTAATAAAATAAAATATGTGTGCAGTTCACATGTGCTAGAAGTGAAATCTTTAGAAAACTAAACTTTATAAGAATAATATTTATACAGAGTATCTGGAGTAGGATAATTGTACGGTTTGTGTAATTAAAATATAGATAAAGTAATAATAAACACCGCATATTGTAATCTATCTCTTTCCCTCACATGCTGAATTCTATAGATGTATATGTTTATCTCGTTTTAGTGTCGCTTTTTTGTTTCATCGAGTTCCAAATCCCAACGGTTTTAAAGAAGGTTTCACTTAAAAAATGTTATTCCCAATTTGCTTCTCAAGTGTGGCGATAGTAAAAATAAAACTTATGATGAGTGAAGAGAACCGGAGATCCTTTTTACTGGAAACGAGGCATTCCATCTTAGTCTTCACGGGTGATAATGCATCTGCATTTTGATTCGTAATCGAGGATAAATGTAGATAGATGTATATGGGCCACAGCATCCACTTACCATCAGGTGGACTGTGTGCTCGTTTGTCAGCCCCTTCTACAAAAAAAAACTTATGTTTAGCAGTGGACTTTGGATAGGCTCCAAAGGAAAAGTTGACAAATAGTTGCGAGTTTTTCTAACTTAATCCCTAGAAGTTTGAGATATACGTAATAGATTTAAATAATATTAGTTTTTACGGATTTTATCGCGTATATTTAACTTTTGAAATACCCGACGTTTCGAGCACTTTACAGCACCCGTGGTCACATGGGAGACTGAGATGTCATAGTTAAGCGCGGTTACCATAGATTAAAATTTAATTTTTGTTCTGATCTACACAGTATGAACTTATAGTATTTTGAAGTCTTGCAGTTGTATGCATGGGTTTGGTTTTAATTTTATTAATTATAGGATCCCAAGCAGATGTTAACACTCAGCCATCTTATCTGTTGAAGTATGGATAAGGATGTTTTTTGATTTCAATAGCCTCCCGACTCATCCTTGAAAGGAATCGGTGTTCTTTAGCGAGGATTTGTCAAATCTGATGTAGTGACGGGGGTGATCCTGTACGTGTTCACAGACCGCAGACTTCCCGGAGCGTCGATTCTTCACATCAGCTATATGTTCTTTAATGCGGGTTTTAATTGATCTATTAGTTTGTCCCATGTAGGAGAGACCACATTCACAATCAAGCTTGTACATTATTGTCATATCCATAGTCCTTAGGAATGACAACGCATCTGCATTTTGATTTTTAATCGAGGATAATGTTTATGGGCCGTATCATTCACTTACCATCAGGTGGAGCGCGCACTCGTTTGTCAAACCCATTGTATAAATAGAAAGTTTGAGACAAGGCATGCGTAGCGTGATTAGTACAGACCTGGCCACGTGGTCGGCCAGCAGCTGCGACGGCGGCGGCGCGCAGGGCGAGTTGTGCAGGCTGTGGGCGCGCGGCGGCGTCGCCTGCAGCTCGCCCAGCGCTGCGCTGGCCGCCGCCAGCTTCGCCAACTTCTTGCTCGACCCTACAGTTGCATCCATACATTTAACGTGTTTAACCGTAGTTAGTCGCGTGCCAGGCTAGCGCGACGCGCCTTGTGTCTGCGATGAGTGGAAAAAGTAACAATACGAGACGAACGAGAGGTGCCACGCTGGAGCGTCCGGCGTGCACGTCTGTCGACAGCGACCAGCGATAGACACAGTACGTGTTCGCGCGTCTTGCGTTTTAATTAAATCGTGTTGATTTTTTCGCGATGCAAAACATGAATATGGAGACGTTTATTAGCGAAATAATGTCTCAGTCTCTAGTAAGCATGAAAATTATATGAATAATATTATATTTCTGGAAACTTTTGTGGTTATTTAAGTATTTCATCATACAGTGTACGATATACCAAACTGATGTCTGATTTAGTTTGTCATGAACTTCTATTTTAATTTGCATAATATATTGTGCAAAAACACTTTTCTAAACATTTTTAACCCGCGCAAAAATAAAAGGGAAAACCCACATGTCATGCAGCCGCCTCAACGTGGCAATGGCATACTACAGCGGCAAGGTCCTTAAAACCTCCCGCCTCTGCAGGTCGCCTCCGCGCCCCACACAGTCGCTCTAGCGTGGCCAACGCCTTACGGACGGCGAAGGGAGCCACCGTCCATCACCCCGCATGCCTCACACCGCAACGCGACATGTCCCCCACACCCCGCGCTTCTACAAAGATTACAGCGGCCAATCACCCCACGACTCACTGCCGCAAGCCCGTGGGAACTCGCCGCCAAAGTGACACCGGCCGCGGGAATAAAAACCGAGCGCCTGGCCGCCGGGATTCGAGACAGTTCCGTTTGCGCACCGCCCCCGAGCGGTAGTGCATTCAGTCCGCGCTCCGTCCTCGTGCGGTAGTGCAACCTCTCGCCCGCGCGCCATTGTGACTCTATTGTTCTTTTGTTACTATTCTGTTATTGTTTTTTTTTTTGTTATTTTTCTATTATTGTTATTGTTTATTGTTATAATTTGTTACCTGCACATAGCTAAGTGTTCTGGAAAAACGTACCTTGTCCTTTTGAGGACAAGGCGTCGTTCTTCCCGGAGCAAGTGCTTCCCTGAATAAACGTCAGCCCCCCCCCTGTCCAAACAAACATGTCTACCATAGACATGAAACATGGTCTTGCACGCGCCATTTCGGCCGCGATCGCTCAGTATTATCAATCCCAAGGCATAGCCTACGATGTCGACGAGAACACCATCAGCCAAGTCTCTAATTTCTTCGCTCCCCCTGCCCCTAAGGCATGCGTCCCCCCCCGCCTGCCGTCGCGGCTTTCCTCGCGACCGACCGACCGACTCGCCCGCGTACCCCGACTTCGATATGGAGCACTCGGACACCACGCCCGTTACCTCCTCCTCCCGTAAGAGGACCGCCCACAGCTCCACCGGCTCCTCGGAGTACGAAGGAACGGTCACCGATACAGCCCAATTCACGCTAGTGAAATGCAGCGCGGCCCGAAGCGCGCCGCGACTTCCCGCACTCCCCCCGTCCCGGCGGCCGCCGCCGCCGCAGTCCCAGGGTGTCGGATTTATCGTCCACAAGTCTCTCGTCAACAACGTTGTAAAGATTGGGAGTGTGTCGACGGGGGTCGCGTACCGGATACTCAGAATCACCAAACGGTATTCGTTGAAGGTCATACAGGTCTACGCACCAACCTCGGCACATCCCGATGAGGAGGTGGAGGAAATGTATGAGGATATTTCTAGAGCCATGCATTCCTCCAAAACCCACTACACGGTGTTTATGGGAGACTTCAACGCAAAACTAGGCACAAGAGAAGGCGGTGAGCTGAAGTTAGGGAAATTTGGAGTAGGGCAACGGAACCGTAGGGGCCAGCAGCTGGCTGACTTTATGGAGAAAGAAGGACTCTTTATGATGAACTCTTTCTTCCAGAAGCGGCCCCACAGGAAGTGGACCTGGTCGAGCCCCGATGGTACGACAAAAAATGAGATTGACTTCATTATGACGACCAGACGCCAACTGTTCAGTCATGTATCAGTGATCGCAAGGATGAAAACTGACAGTGATCACCGAATGGTTAGAGACACACTGAACCTAAACGTTAAGTTGGAGAGGTTTCGTCTAATGAAATCAATGCTCCGTCCCCCTCGTGCTCTAATCCAGAATCCCGAGACTTTTCAGCTCGAGTTACGTAACCGCTTTCAGTGCCTAGAAGATTGCAATGCAGTGGACGATATGAATGACAAGCTCGTGGAAACTGTCCATGCGGTCGGAGCTAAGTTCTGCAAGACCCGCCGCAGAAGAACACAAAAACTCTCCGATCACACTCTTAATCTCATGGCTGTTAGCGATCGTGTAGCGATCGAGCGGAACCAGGGCTCCAAAGTCTTTGCCAGAGATCTGTCTGCCAGAAAGAGCCAACTGTCAAAGCTGAAGACTGAGTGTGGCAGCAACGTTTCCGGGACACCTGAGATTCTGAGTGAGATTGAGAGGTTCTATGGGCAGCTGTACACATCATCGTTGGAGCCACACGCAAGTGTAAGTAACGACACAAGAGCAAGTATTACCCGACACTATTCCGATGATATCCCGGACGTCAGTCTGAGCGAGATTAGAATGGCTCTCCAGCACCTTAAAAACGGCAGGGCCCCAGGCGAGGATGGAATTACAGCGGAACTTCTGAAGGCGGGTGGAAAACCGGTATTTGAAGTCCTTCAGAAGCTCTTCAATTCCGTCCTCCATGGTGGCACCACTCCGGAGGCGTGGAGCAGAAGTGCAGTGCAGTGGTCTTGTTCTTTAAGAAAGGCGACAACGCTCTCTTGAAGAACTACAGACCGATTTTCCTTCTAAGCCGCGTCTACGTGCTGTTTTCGAGAGGCATTACGAATCGTCTCGCACGCAGACTCGACGACTTGCAGCCTCCTGAACAAGCCGGTTTCCGAAAAGGCTTCAGTACCATAGACCACATATATACCCTGCGGCAGATTGTACAGAAGACCGAAGAGTACAATCTGCCACTTTGCCTGGCGTATGTGGACTATGAGAAAGCCTTTGATTCCGTCGAAATTTGGGCGGTGCTACAGTCCTTTCAGCGGTGCCAAGTTGACTGTCGGTATATCGAGGTGCTGAAGTGTTTGTACAATAGGGCTACGATGGCTATCCGAGTACAGAACCAGAGTTCGAAACCTATCCAACTGCAGAGAGGTGTAAGACAGGGTGACGTTATATCCCCGAAACTCTTCACCGCTGCGTTGGAAGACGTTTTCAAGCTACTGGACTGGAAAGGATACGGTATTAACATCAATGGCGAGTACATCACTCACCTTCGATTTGCCGACGATATAGTCCTTATGACAGAATCGCTGGAGGACCTTAGCACTATGCTCAATGACCTCAATGGTGCCTCCCAACGGATAGGTCTTAAGATGAACATGGACAAAACAAAGATTATGTTCAATGTCCATGTCACACCTATGCCGGTAGTTGTGGGGAGCACTATGCTCGAAGTTGTTGACGAGTACGTTTACCTGGGACAAATAGTCCGACTAGGAAAGTCCAACTTCGACCGAGAGGTCAATCGACGGATTCAACTCGGCTGGGCAGCGTTCGGGAAATTACGACACATCTTCTCGTCAGGTATACCTCAATCTCTGAAAACTAAAGTGTACAACCAGTGCGTGTTGCCAGTGATGACTTACGGATCAGAGACGTGGTCCTTCACTGCTAGCCGTATGAGGACGCTCAAGGTCGCTCAGCGAGCTATGGAGAGGGCTATGCTCGGAGTTTCTCTGCGTGAAAGACTCAGAAATGAGGATATCCGCAGTGAAACCAGAGTGACAGACATAGCCCAACGGATTAGTAAGCTGAAGTGGCAATGGGCCGGCCATATAGCTCGAAGAACCGATAACCGATGGGGAAGAAAGGTTCTCGAGTGGCAGCCTCGTACCGGTAGGCGTAGTGTAGGGCGACCCCCCCACTAGATGGAGTGACGACCTGGTAAGACATGCAGGAAGTCGATGGATGCAGGTGGCTCAGGACCGTGCTTTGTGGCATTACTTGGGGGAGGCCTATGTTCAGCAGTGGAACTTGTGAAGGGCTTATGATGATGATGATGATCCTATAGAAAGAACCAGCAAAATATCTGAGAGTCACGTTTATCGCCCGCATGAGTTTCGCAAAACACATAAGTGTACGCAAAAAAGCCAAATAGAATCCATCTATACTAATTCATCATTATTTATTTGCATCTAATGTAGGTAGATATTACAACAGTATTGTTAAAACATAAAATTTCATATACATTCTGCCTTATCGAAGCGCGCAAATATTGACTAATTAGATATAACAATATTTTTTGACGAATTTAACTTATTTACAAAAAATATCAAAATGTTCATATGTAAAAACAGTAAAAACAACTAACTAATAATTATTCTATAACTATCGAAGTCCTTAATAAACTCACTGCAAAAAAATTCAATAATTTTAGATACAGATATTTAAATATGTAATTTGTTTTGATTTTTGTGATCAAGATACTCTTAACAGTATAAAAACAATTAAGTAAAAGGCATTGATGAAGTTTATTTTTTAACTTTGTCATTGGGAAATTTTTAAACTCGTCGGGTAAAGAGTTAAAGATTTTAATCGCCATTATGTATGAATTTTTTTAGAAGAGCATCAATTTACATTTTGGAAAGTATATTCTGTTATTAGATTTTTCTCTTAAACTTCCATCTGTTAAAAAATTATTACCTGGGATTCAGGGAATAGCTTGACAAAATCGCCGCTTGTTTTATACATTTTCTGTTTTGCTTAAACACACGTGCATTCTTTTTCGAAAAATCATTTGCACTTACACTTTGACACTGATTGACCATAACACATTCACTACACTGAGCACTGACACTTGGTGGAACATGTGGCGACTACGTACCCTGTTCCGTCATAGGCACCGACACTCCCGCCTCCGCAGGGGCTCCAGGTGCCGACCGCCTACAGTGCCTCCAGCTGTACACCAGGGCGCCCACCGCAACGACCACAACACATATATCGCAGCGTAGTGGTGGACATCATGATACGAAACTCTCTCTGCTAGGGGCTCGTTGTTCTTCATAATTTCAATCTGTTCCTTGATCATCCGTAGATTATTGGCTATATCATCATTCGTATTGTTCGGTAAGGAGCGATCGGGGTAGCGATATATTGATGATGTGATTAATTGGTGATATCTTAGGGGTTTGTATATCAGAATTGATGTTCATCTCGCTAAGTTCTTGCCGGTGTGAATAAATCAAGAAATCAGCTGCTTTAACTATACAACCCTGATCCACATTAAATAGGCCAGAGCGGGTCAATTGTACTGCCGTAACTTGATCGTCACATAGTAACTACATTTTGCACTGGTCGTAACAAAAATAAAAATATGAGTTATAGTTCTACCCAGCGATTGTAGCAGGATCGTAATTGTTTTACATTTTCTTGAGAAGGGCAGATTCTCGCAGAAACTATGATCATCTTTTATGTAGTAAATAGGTATTTTATGAATCTCTTCTAATACATAAATCCAGGTCCTTTTCGGTCAGTGGCACTAGGGAGTCTTTCTTCAAGTTGATAGCGTTGTATCTGACGCTGGTACTACGGAAATTTCTTCTTTATTTTCTGATATATAAGGTACTGGTATGACTTCCAGGGCTTCAAACATATCTCTGCTGATGAGAGGTATCTTGATTTCAAATATGATATAATTACTTCTTATTCGAGCTCGCACCTGTAGTAAGTTGTAGATTTCATACGAATAAGAGTTAGATATGGTAATGATAGGTCTTTAGGGAGCTGGCCTGCTATAACGTCAGTTCTTGTCTTAACTGGTTGGGAGATAGCAAGTGGAAATTAAATTTTCCGTAGTATATATTTAAAATACTATGTTAGGGCTGAATCTGAGTGACAGGGTGAGAAACTGTGTGATAAAAGAAGAGTGTGGTTTGCAAGATGATGCAGTCACCAGGATTAAGAAAAGATTAAGGAATTCTTCGGTAGTTTGGTCATGTAGAAAGAATGAATGCGGAAAGACTGACAAAGCAAATATGTGTTGCAGAAGTGAATGGAAGAGTCGGAAAGGGACGTCCTAGGCGGAAGTTTGTCGACCAAATTGGCGATATACTAAAAATGGGCCAAATTAAGAGTACCCTTAACTGACGAGTATGAGAATGAGAATTCGTAGGTATATTGATGTGGAAGAGGCGAGAGAGGTATGTCAGGATCGTGCTAAATGGAAGTCTGTAGTCTCTGCCTACCCCTCTGGGTGACAGGCGTGAGTGAGTGTTTATGTATGTATGTATGTATATATTTGTAATAGTGTCGAGTAAATTTTGTTGTATATTTCTAAGGCTGATAATAAGGTTACTTGTCATCATGGCTGTACTGATAAATTCACTTGTGAAGGAAATATTCTGAATCTCCCTCTTGAATTGATCTTCTGAATTTACTAGAGATATATTATTTCTGTTAATATTCTTGTGGTTCTTCTCCATGATTTCTTTAGAGCGTTTTAGTAAATTAAATTCCGCTTCCACTACGGTCGTTTGATTTTTCCATAGGGTTGCTAAATGGTTTTGATTTCGCCTGATAAGTTCAATGTCCTTTTCATATTTTTCGGCAAAACTTTCGTCTAAAATACCTAATAAACTATTAGCAATACTTCCTACACCATTGATCAAGCCGCGCCGGCGACGTGGGCGGGTCGCTAGTATGTTATAATGTTGAATGGTTAAAATGTTATTATAATATTGCAGTTCCGTGAGCTCGTACCGAAGTTGTAACAAGATCTCTTGGCAATGTGATCGTGCCTTCATAATTACACACATGTTATATTTAAGTATTGTATATATTTTGTTAGCGCCGTATTACCTTCTTGATAAGGGAATGTGTCATAGTACACAACGAGGCGCCAGTCGTCTCGTATTAAATGCATGCTTGTTATTGTATCAAAATAGAGACTGCTGTTTTGTAATGGCGTTATGTTATAGGAGCATTGTACTGTCGAGATTATTGCAATAAAGAATAATAAAAGCGATTTAATCATTGATGTTAAGCAATTTTTTTTTCTTCTGCTTGATTTAGGGATTGATTTATTTTCATTTTCTTGGTTTTTTTTTTTTTGTTGAACTGCCTGTCTTTATTTTGTTGAACCGGTAAAATTGAGAGCTTCACGATCGGCCGTTGTAAGATTTGTTTTTGGTCCTAAGAGTGACAACTCTGACGTACCCGTCGTTTCCCGGGTGTAGCTGCACAACTCGGCCAAGGGGCCACTTTCCCGAAGGAAGGTTTTCGTCTCTAATAATGACGATGTCATTCTCTTTGATATTTGGCTGCGGTTTTCTATATTTATCTGGCTGCGCTAATTGCGTTAAATATTTATTGCGCCATCTTTCCCAAACATCGTTAAATATTTTTTTGGATTAAATACCACCTTGTCCTTAAATCAGATTCGGTACTGTAGATGTTCAACGTAGGACCACTAGAAAAAAAGTTTGCAGGGTTCATGAAAATCTTTTCAGGCGTTTGAAGATCATCAGGATTTTTTTTTCGGGGGTTTTTAAAATTTTCAATTCAATATTATAATGAAACTAGTTTCACAAGTAGTGATACTAGTTATGTAAAATTAGCATTACCATACACGCCACTAGTTTCGTAACGTAAATCCGGCTGCATCAGCGACATCTAGTGGTGATCAGTGAAAATAATCGCGTTAATAAAGGAATCAAAAAGGGTAACTCACCGTAGCCTTCAAACTGCTGATCCTTGATCTGACAAACCACTTTAAATCTCATACTGTGACTCAAGTGAAGTGGTGCTGTTGACAAACGTGCATATATTTTATCGAATGAAATTAATAGACGAAATATATTAATAATGTACTAAAATACTACAGAATTGTTATATGAGATTTCACAAGATGCTTTGGGTATATGCCACGACCTATCCAATGCCTTCGGCTGTGTTGACCGTGAGACATTACTCAGGAAACTACAATATTATAGGGTGTACAGACTTTTTTTTACAGAATAAGGCTGACGAATGGGCACGCAGTCCACCTGATGGTAAGTAGAATCAAAACGCAGATGCGTTGTCACCCCTGACGACTAAGATGGAATGCCTCGTTTTCAGCAAAAAAGGGTCTCCGGATCTCTACACTCACCATACAAAACACAGCAGCATTAAGCTACTATTTCACGCTGGTATTCTGTGAGAGCGTGGTCCTGCCCCGGTCGAGCCGACCCATTCGTGCTGCAACTATAATATGGTTGCAGCGTGGCTCTACCACGTATAATATTTGTTTCTTTAACCCCTAAACTATCTGCCTTTTTTAGTACCTGCCGCTTGGCTCTACCACGTAAGTCACACTCTTAAATTTGTTATTTCATATTTAAGTAACAGAACGCAAAGTTTTTATAGTCAAGTTTAAAGCCAAGTCAATAGTACAAATGAGCGTACCTCAGCCGTACATCAAAACTAACAAGCACGCAAAGTTCAGCAGCGTATGCTGTATAAAAAACATATAAAAAGCAGTGCTTGAATGGCTGTATCCTAGTCTAAATGTATACAGCCAGTGGTACAGGTGGGGAGGTATTCCATCTTAGCCCTAGGAGGTAACAACATGCCTGTTGTCCTTGAATGAAGTTAGCTGCAGGTGTTCACGTACTGCAGTAGCCACTTGCCATCAGGTGGGCTATAAATTCGATTTACACTTCACACTCAAATTAATAATAATGTCACGGCGGCCCGCCTCAACGGAGACCAGCCATCGGCGCAGGACAGGGTTATAGTGCCCAAGTGTATGCGCAAGCACAGGTGCTCTCTCTATTGCCTCACTCTCATAATCCGACGACCGGAGAGAAGATCAGGGGCAGAACCAACGGCTTTAGATGCTTTCCGAGGCACGGTGGGGGGGGGGACACCGCTAACTTCCTAACTCCGAGCAGCTACTGGTAATTTCTTGTCGAATTCATATATTTTTTATTCATATCACATATATTTCAAGAATTTATTTTTTGGCCCGACCGGGGATTCGAGCCCAGGGCATCATGATCAGCAGTCGCACTACTACAACCACTAGGTCAACAAGGCAGTCAAAAGTTACACTATATAAGATACAAAAACATTTTTTTCGTCTTACCCTGCATGGAGTCCAAAGGCGAGCCGTCTCCGTAGGTGCAGATGAAGGTCAATTCGGGATAATTTTCGTACAGAGTGCTGATGGGGCTCTTGTGAGCAGGCACCGGCACTGGGGCACCGAAGAGCACCGCGCCCGCCGATGAATTCGCAGCTGAAATGGTGGTGCCATTTACTTGATGGTACTCATCATCATTATAACAGTCCTTTACAAATCCACTGTTGAATATAGGCCTCCATTAAGGTATGCCACAAAGAACGGTCCCAAGCCACCGACTATGTTGTGGTAGCTCATATTAGCAGAACATTAGACACCAATATCATGTGTGATCTCAACGCATTTCCAAAGACCTCAATGTATATACTATTTATTTATTTATTTATTCTTTTTTTGTACACCACAATACAGAAACATCTGACACTGAAACTCCGATGCTGTTGAGTAATATTTTAATAAGCATTTGCATCGCATCACATCAATACTACGGGTAACACGCTCTTACATTATAACAGCGTAAAATAGCAGCATAATGCTGCTAAGTTTCGTATGGTGAGTGTTAAAAACCGGAGTTTATACAGGTAACGAGGCATTTATCGTTATTCTCCGGGGTGACAACACATCTGTATTTTGATACTTTATCGAAGACAGATTAGGTGTCTATGGGTCACAGCCCAAAGCATTCACTTACCATAATAAATTTAAAGTTGAACTCAAAGCTTCTGTTATTTTATCAGCCCATAACATCTCACTGCTGGGCAAAGGCTTTCCCAACCTCTTTCCACCGTTCACAGTTCTGTGCTATGGAGGAACAGTCTCCCATAAAGGAGCCCAGTTCATCTAGCCATCGTTTTCCGGGTCTGCCTCGAGGTCGTCTGCAATTTTTTGGGAGCTCACCGAGTTAGTCCCATTTTAGTTTGGCAGATTTGGGTTCTGGAGCGCGGAGTGGTATTTCTGATGCGATCTGTTAGTCCGACTCCTAAGCATGCTGCGCTCCATTGCTCACTGACACACCTCGATATCAGACCCCTGCTGTTTGGTGAGACCAGGTTCGGGCATCGTAAGTCAAGACGGGGAGAATGCACATGTCCATGAGTTTGTGTTTAAGCGATATTGGTGCGTCGCCCTTCATTAGATGTTTTAAGGCCCAATAGCTCTTCCATGCGTTTTCTGTTCGTCGGGCGATCTCTTTTTCTTACCTCGTCTGGAAAGAGACAATTCGGCCCAAATAAACATACTCATGAACATATTCAACCTCCACGTCATCTATAATATGTAACCTGTGCTTGACATGGTTAACTTGGTCTTTTCCCTATTCAACAGAAGTCCAACCTCCAGGCTAGCTATTCGTTGAGCATTTCCCCCTGTTTGTTGGCCGAGGACGCGAAAGCTTGTATGCAAAAATGTACATAATATTCGGTAACCTGTACTCCGTTACCCATAAAAGTCTGCTGCTGAACATAAAAGAGGACCCTATAGATTGCCTCATCGAGGTGATTGGGGCATGGTTACCACGCTTGACAGCAGACTGGAAACCTGCTGCTGCTCATCTCCTGATTCTTTTCCATCCATCGCCTCTTACGACTTACTCCTGGGCGACATGAGGTAGTGGATATTCTTAAACACGACAGTTTATTAAACTATATCTTACAGTCTACATATTATAGTCCACCGTTGACAACAATTTACAAATTAAACAATTACAAGTTGTAAAAATTACAATTTGGTAATATAGACGTATTTACACGTAGTAGAACCATGCTGCAGTTATATTAGTAGTATAGTTGTAGCACGAATGGGTCGGCTCGACCGGGGAAGGACCACGCTCTCACAGAATACCAGCGTAAAGTAGTAGCTTAATGCTGCTGTGTTTCGTATGGTGAGTGTAGAGAACCAGAGGTCCTTTTTACTGGAAGCGAGGCCTTCCATCTTAATCCTCACGGCTGACGACGCATCTGCGTTTTAATTCGTAATCGAGGATAGATGTAGATGTGTATGGGCCGCAGCATCCACTTACCATCAAGTTGACTGTGTGCACGTTTGTCACCCTATCCTATAAAAAAAAGATTGCCTCATAGAGGAGATATTGAACTTAGTTGTACAGTCCACTGCAGAAAATTTGCCATGGTTGCCACGCTTGGCAGGCGAGTTGCCAATCGCAGTTCTTATTTTTATTTTAGTCTTTATTAAGAAGACGCTGCTGCCTATCTCCTGATTATCATCTGTTGGCTATTTCGACACGCACGCGATGATATGTGGATATTCTTACACCGTCACTACAATTTCCCGCATAATTCATTAAATTTTAAAGTTGTATAACAAGTAAGCTGTATTTCACTTTTAACTGCATATTATGCCAAATCTTACACTCCTTTGAGCGCGTAATATACTTAAAAATCGGTACAAATTTATTCCTTTACATATTAACGAATATATATATATATATATATATATATACATATATATATATTGTTACGAGCTTAGGGTTCGTGACAATAAAAATTGCCGATAAAATTACCTAAATTAACACTTTAATTTACTTTACACAAATTAAAACTTAAAACACTAATGATTAAACACACTAATTCACTTAATTCCGCTCCGAACCTTCGCTTGTGTCGCCGAGTTCAAGTCTACCTCGATCGCATCTTGCAGCGCCTACTTATATAAATTAGCAAAATATCCAGAATGTTCAAGTAAACACGCGCAAGGTACCGAGAGTTCGAGTTTTAAACTTCAAGAAGTTTAGTTCTTCGGTTCGAGACTAGATGGCGCTAGTGCGCCGATTTTAGCGCGTAACACTGCCCCCTCCTAAGACATGCTCGTCCCGAGCATTATCGGTCCCATAATAACGCGCTAGGCGATCCACATGGACGATCTTAGGAGTCCCTCTTGCGCCTTTCTGTAACGGCTCCGCAATGTCAAGGGCTGTTCTATCCCGTGGTGCACCAACATTGTACAATTTCGGTGCTCCTCTACTACGTGTCTGAGGTCCCCGCACGGCCGCACAACTTGTACATGTACGACACCAATCCTCGACATCGTCACGATAATGGACCCAGTAAAACTGTTTTCGGACCTTCAGTAGAGTTCGTTTAACTCCCAGATGGACTCTTGAACGACCATTATGGCACAGCTGTAGAACATTCGGCACTTTAGCTTTAGGGACAACCATTTGCAAACGACAGCTGTCCCTTCGACCATTGTCCCATTTACGGCACAGGACTCCATCCTGAATCAGCAAGCTGTCCCATTGGGCCCAATAGCTTTTCGTGGTTGAACTCATCGCTGAGACGTCCCTCCACTTAGGCTTGGTAGCACGGGCCTTCATCCATCCCAGAATCGGCTTGATGTCCGGATCTTCCTGCTGTGCATGTCGTAGGCTGTCCTTCCACCCGTTGCTGAGGTGGTCTGTCCTGAGCATCCTCACGGATACCACTTCCTTACTCTCTTGCCTACTACAATGGTTGCAATCTTCAGGACAAGGTCTTCTTGTCAATGCATCTGCGTTGCCGTGAGATTTCCCCCTGCAATGTCTGATAGTAAAGTCGTATTCCTGCTGCTGCTGGGCGGTGCTGTTAACCGCACTTCCTTTCTGAGACCGTTCACCTTCCCTTCCTAGGGTGTGCTTAGGGCAGCTGGACCGAAGATGGCCCCTTTCCCCACAGCCATAGCACCTAGGGCTGTATCTTTTATTGTGGTCGCGAACCGTAACTGCTGTAACCTCCCTAGCGTGAGGTGAACGATGATCCTGTCGCCGCCAGGCAGTGCCGTTAGCTGTACTACCCTCTCGAGATCGATCAACTCTCCTTTCCACGGTTAGTTTAGGGCAGCTGGATCGAAGATGGCCCTTTTCCCCACAGCCATAGCACCTAGGGCTGTATCCTTTGCTGCGGTCACGGTCTGTAGCTGCTGCAACCTCCCTGACGCGATGGGAACGATGATCCTGCCGCACGGCTTCCATCTCCAGTGCATGGGCCAAGGCGTTCTTAAGCGTCTCGTGGTGCCCGAGCCTCACAGCAGCTCTGACTTCCAGGTCACGGATGCCGTCGATGAATGTCTGCACCAGGTTCCCTTCAAAGAGCGCCGGTACAGACCGGTATGCTTTTCGCACCAGCTTCTCCACCTCTAGAGCCCACTGCTGCAGGTTTTCGTTGATGCGCTGCACGCGATCTTTAAGCTGCGCACGAAAGACGTGTTCCAGGTGAGCGTCACCATATCTCGCCTCCAATGCCTCAAGGAGTTGCTTATAAGTCACTTCCTCACCGAGAGCTTCCAGAACTGTTAAGGCCTGGTCGCGCAGGCCTAGTGTGAGAGCAGTCATGGCCTGACTTTTATTCCAGCCGTTCGCCTTCATAACAGCCTCGAACTGGATTTTGTAGGCTGACCAGGAAGAAGTCCCGTCGAACGGTGGCACCTTGAACCCACGTAGCGAAGGTGCTGTAGCTACTACGGGAGCTGTCGTTCCATCCCCAAGTTTGAGGTCGTTTACCGTTTTCTTCACGTCAGCTATCACGTTGTCAACCCGATTGTTCACATGGTTGATTCGGGTCTCATGTTCTTCGATTCGGGTTTCAGCTTCCGACAGGCGGTTGTCATGTTGAGCAACCCTATCCTTCACCTCCCTTATCTCTTTCCCAAAGGTAGCGTGAAGGTCCTTCATGAGGAGCATCTGCTCTTCCAACCGACGAGCCTGTTCCGCCTGCTGATCTTCCAACCGACGGGCCTGTACCTCCTGTCGGCGGGCCTGTTCCTCCGGTCGGCGGGCCTGTTCCTCCTGTCGGCGGACCTGTTCCTCTTGTCCGCTCTGCAGCTGCTCTTTTAACTGACGGACCTGTTCCTCCTGTCGGCGAGCCTGCTCCTGCAGCATCACCATCAGAGCACCTAAGTCGGGTGCTGCAGATGTAGGAGCTACTGACGGGCCTGCAGCCGGCGACTGTCCCTCCGACGTCTGCGGCGTTGCACCACCAAATCTTCGTTGGTCCGTCTCCTGCTGGCGTTGACTTCGGGTACGGACACCCTCCGTTTCCTCCTTAGGTAAAATCGGCATTATTTTATCCCACTTCTGACACCAATTGTTACGAGCTTAGGGTTCGTGACAACAAAAATTGCCGATAAAATTACCTAAATTAACACTTTAATTTACTTTACACAAATTAAAACTTAAAACACTAATGATTAAACACACTAATTCACTTAATTCCGCTCCGAAGCTTCGCTTGTGTCGCCGAGTTCAAGTCTACCTCGATCGCATCTTGCAGCGCCTACTTATATAAATTAGCAAAATATCCAGAATGTTCAAGTAAACACGCGCAAGGTACCGAGAGTTCGAGTTTTAAACTTCAAGAAGTTTAGTTCTTCGGTTCGAGACTAGATGGCGCTAGTGCGCCGATTTTAGCGCGTAACAATATATATATATATATATATATATATATATATATATATATACTATAATTTCAAAACATTTATGAGTTATCATTAAGTTGACAACCATAGGTATGTTATATCTAGGGTTGCCAGTAAAGATTTCTATGTATAGTACAAGACGATGTTTTGGTCATGTAGAAAGAATGAATGAAGACAGAGTGACAAAGCCAATTTACATGGCAGATGTGAACGGCAGAGTCGGGAAGGAATGCCCTAGATCTAGAAGAAAGTTTATCGACCACATTGGCGATATTTTGAAAATGGGCCACGTTAGAAGTACCCTTAACCGACGAGCATGTATGCGAAGATATATGGATGTAAAGGAGGCGAAAAAGGTACGTAGGCGGTCCCATAATGAATTGGCCTAACTATGAAACAATGAAGGAAATGAAACGAAACCAATTTTATTTTTCAATATAATCACCATGAATACTAACAAACTTCTGACATCTGTGAATCAATATCTCTAAACCTTTATAAAAATAATCACATTTTTTATCCTCAAAATGATTGAAGACGGCCGCCTGCAACTCTTCATCGCTTGAAAATTTTCTTCCTCTTAAGTCCCGCTTTAAATTTGGAAATAAATAATAGTCGGACGGGGCCATGTCTGGACTGTAAGGTGGATGTTGAACTTCTGTGAACCCGCATTGACGAACTGCATCCTTCGAAACACCAGCGGTATGAACAGGGGCGTTGTCATGGAACAACAGGACACCTTTAGACGGCTTGCCTCTTCGTTTTTCCTTTATCTTGTCTCGTAATTTATATATTAAAGAAGCATAATATTCGCCGTTCACGACTGTATTACGTTCTTTAAAATCCACCATCAAAATGCCTTGAAAATCCCAAAATATTGTGCACATCAGTTTTTTAGTCGATTGTTGCACCTTTGCCTTTCTAGGGGGCTTTTCACCCTTACAACGCCATTCCATTGACTCTCGCTTGCTTTGTGGATCATAATACAAGATCATAGTTTAATCACCAGTCACTAGCCGCTCGATCACAGTCTTTGGATTTTCGCCACAAAGATCCAAAAACTCCGAAGCGCAGCGCACTCTTTCCTGTCTCTGTACCGCTGAAAGAAGTTTCGGTACCCATCTTGCACTCACTTTTTTCATGTGAAGGTGTTCATGGATCGCGCGATGAACGGTACTCTTAGAGAGCCCAAGCCTTGCTGCAATTTCTTTAATCTTCAAACGGCGGTCACTCAGAACCTCCTCTTCAATAAGAGCAATCGTTTCGGGAGTGAGCACTTCCACAGGTCGACCGTCGTGGCCAAAGTCTTCGACGGTTTTTCTCCCGAGGCGAAACTCTTTCACCCAATTTTTCACTGTGCTATATGAGGGGGCAGACTCCTTATACACGCCATCCAATCGTTCTTTTATTTGGGCAGGGGATAAACCTTTTTAAACAGAAACTTTATGACACTTCGATACTCAGTTTTCGACATTTTGAAAAAATACGCGACTCTCGTTATTCAAATGCCTGTTAAACTAAGACTAAGCATTTCATGTCGATGGATGTTTCTTATATTAAGTGCACGATAAACGTACTATTTAATGCAACACAACATGTAGCGACATGTCGCATTGAACTATATCAGGCCAGTTCATTATGGGACCGCCTGGTATGTCAGCATCGTTCCAAATGGAAGTCCATAGTCTCTGCCTACCCCTCTGGGTGACAGGCGTGATTGTTTATGTATTTGGTACAAGATGGGCTCTGCACTCTTATAATTACGCACTAAGTCACAATCAATTGCCGCAGCTCTTTCAATCTGCAAGCGGCGATAAAATTTACGTTACGTAAACTGCGAACGTTCTTTTCGACAATCTAATACAGTTTTTGTTTAATGTGACTGAGATAACGCTGTCATTATTTATGTGCGCACTTCGCTAACGTGATTTGAAGTTTATTTCAGATTATTATGTAATTTTATTTCCCATTTGCGTAAAAAAAAGTAACAGTTGTAGTATTTTATTTCAAAAACACGTTATGACTAGAATTTTCAGGTATCATGTAGGTAGTGTACAAATATAAATTGCACAATCATCTAGAGCTGTAACAGTTATATGTAGGCCATACAAATACCTGTTCCGTATGGAATTCGAACCTGCAGCCTTCAGCGCCGCAACGGGAAGCTAAGCTACTACAACTGCATGCCATATTTACCGCTGCAGCTTAGGTAGTAGCTGTGGCACAATTTTTGTTTTGAATTAACGGTCATGTAGTTAGGAGTGTTTGGTTGTCGGGAGTTACCTTGTCCCTCGGGCGGCTTGTCGCTGGTGAAGTCGTGGTGGGTCGACGGCGCTGGCTGCATGCCGTCCGCGCGCGTCAGCAGCGCCACCAGGCAGTCGCTCGCCGCCGCGGCTTGAGCCTCCCGCTTAGTGTGGCCCCTGCCCTCTGACAGCATGTCCGCCACCTCCACACCAACAACAATCAAATAAACATTCATTTCATCAACACACAACATTAGCTAACGTAGAAATTAGTACAAATTACAATTTGGTAATTATTATTTACATAGTAGAGCCATGCTGCTATAGTAATGTCTTCTAGACCGAATTTCAGTCACGGCAGCCTGTTTCAACCTGTCTCAACGGAGACTGGCCATCTGCACGGGACAGGATAATGGAGAAGATAACCATTTTTTGTTTTATATGCCAAAAAATTCTACAAAAAATTATGAGAAATATGCCTCATTTACATTCAGCACCTGCCACTGCTCCTCGCGCTGCCGGCAATACTTCGCTAAATACTGCCGTAGCAGGATCGCGGGAAGTGTGTATTCACACTCTGCCCTACCGCTCACATCGCTTTCGGCTTTCGACTATGGCGGACGTCGAAATAATTACAGCGTCCGCGCTGTGTCTTCTTACAATACAAAATTATGTTAATAATTTAAAAAGATTTCAAATTCGAAAGAAGATACAGATAGATAGAAAATTTATTTGCTTAAAAACATGGTACATAAGATGATCAATGACGTGGAACTGACATGTTTTGCCATAATTGGCATGCAAAAATGATATGAAATACAGCTAATTACACAAACCCAATGTTACATTTTAAAATTATTGTATTGCTTAAAAGTTAGGTAGGTACAAACATTCTTTTTGAATTCAAATAGGTATTATGTACAATTAAATACTTATACAGATCCACTCTATTTGAAACTCAAAAAAAACTCAAAAAAAAAATTGGTTGTCTGTAAAGTTTGTTTACGGACGATAGTTTAACGTGACAACGTCCATAACAAAACATTGATGAAATGATTTCATACTTTGTGGAAGAGACATAGATACGGCGCAAGCCGAACGCTCAAGCCGATCGTGCCTTTCGCTCGCTCATGCAGCGCTCTCGCTCCGATTGTAACGTTACAATGAGTCATTCTTTTTAGTGTCATGCAGCCGGCGTTTATCGATTTATCAGACGTTGTCTCGTCAATAACTGATTTTGGCCCGAGCCGGGATTCGAACCCGTGACCTCATGATCAACAATCACATTTACGACCACTAGACCGACGAGGTAGTGAAAAGGCTGCCGCTATATTATGATTGTAGTATGCTGCTGTTTGTTTCGTATGGTGATTCTAGAGAACCGAAAACCTTTTTACTAGAAACAAGACATTCCATCTTACTCCTCAGGGCTGGCAAGGTGGTGGAGGATACATGTATTTGTCTAATGGTCACAGAAACCACTTAGCACCAAGTGGACTGTGTGCTTATTTGTCACCCTTATTTTTTTTAAAACGTTTGAGATAGTATATTTCGAAGACGTGTGAAATTAGCCATCACGCACTAAATCGTCATACTTAGGGGTTTGACAAGGTAGATTGTAGGTTTGAAAAACGCTTTTTTCCACCTGGTGCAAACGAGATGGCTATACCGACAACTATCAGTCTAACGTGTAATAAAACTCTACTCCACAACTCCTAGTTCTTAGTTAGGTATATTCTTGATATTAAACAATAAACACTTTTAGCCTTCTTTACAAAACCAACTATGCACTCTCGCTAGTCTTTATTTGTTTAGGCCCGTAACGGAAACGGAATTCCGTTACGAACGACCTACGATATTTTCCCGTTCGAAATTTTGCGGACAAAACGGAATTCCGTATGTATGTGACCGGCCTTAATAGCCTATACTACCTCAGCTCAAATTCTAATTTCGCCCGCACTTCCCTGCGCGTCGTATGCTACCGACATGTTTGTAATCACTAATACTGTAAGTAGATAGGTCGTTAGATACTTATTTCATTAGGTTTATCATATTTATGCCTGTTTCTTTACGACAACCCAGTCGCTTCTTATTATTATTACGGTTATTTCCGGTTATTATACATATTACGGTCATTGGAAAAGCTTATAGATAGATATATAAGGGATGTAGCTCTAACTACGAGGCCCATACATTACAACCAGCATGCTTACCGCAGAGGCAAATCTACGGAAACAGCCCTGATCAGTGTCATTGACAGGGTCGAAAAAGCACTGGAGGATAAAGAAATAGCTCTTTGTGCCTTTCTAGATATTGAGGGCGCCTTCGACAGTAGCCCCACATCACTGCTGATTGGGGGCCTAACATCTAAAAATGTTGACCCCACAACCATCATATGGATGAAGTCGATGCTCTCAAACAGAAAGGCAAAAATAGCGCTGTTTCAAACCTCGATTGAGGTTGCAACCACAAGAGGCTGCCCACAAGGAGGTGTTTTGTCACCCCTTCTTTGGACTCTTGCGGTTGACCAACTATTGTACAAAATGGCAGACCTACGCATTGACACATTGGGTTATGCTGATGACCTTGTGATCATTGCAAGGGGCTTTTGCCAAAGTACTTTATCGTCAATAATACAAAGAGCCCTAAACTCCATAAACAACTGGTGTAGCAATAACAGTTTATCATTTAATTCTGATAAAACTGTTATAATAAATACCCTTTACCAAAAAGAAACGGTTGGACAAGTTAATCCAAACGAAACTTAATGGTAAAGAAGTACCATTTTCCACGGAAGTTAAGTACTTGGGCGTAACTATCGACCAAAAACTAACGTGGAACTCTCACCTTAGCAACGTATGCCATAAGGTAAAAATTGCTTTAGGTACGTGCAGTCGTTTGGTCGGGAACAACTGGGGCTTGCGTCCCAGTATGGTCCTATGGCTGTACAGCAGCATAGTGAGGCCGATTCTCACCTACGCCTCTATTGTCTGGTGTAACAAGGCCAACCAAAAGACGACTGCGGACAGACTAAATAGTCTACAAAGGACTGCCTGCCTAATGGCAACTGGAGCTATGCGATCATCGCCTGGAGCGGCTCTTAATGCACTTTTATGCCTAACGCCCCTAGATCTCTATCTAGACAAGGAGGCGAGGGCTAGTTTGTATAGGATTAACGCCCAGGGCGAGCTTGCTCTCCTATAGATTGAGATCCATGCTCGACTCAATTAAGGAATCACCGGTCTTATGCATGATCTCAGATATCATGCGTCCACTATACACTTTTGATAAAAAGTATATAGTGGAATTACCCTCCAGAGAAGACTGGCTGAATGGCCAGGTTATCTGTGAGGTCGGTAGCCTCATATGTTATACCGATGGGTCTAAAATGGGCCTCGACGTAGGCTTTGGACTTTACGGGGAACGCCCCAAATTCAAATTTAGTATGAATTTGGGTAGATACACCTCCTCTATCTTCCAGGCAGAAATTTTCGCCATACTTCGGTGTGCGGAAATCAATCTGCAAAAACACTACGTCAACCATAAAATTTACATAAACTCTGATAGTCAAGCAGCACTGCTAGCGCTGAGATCAAACTTAGTGAACTCAAAGCTAGTTGGAGACTGCGTGAACCGTTTAAACGCCCTGGGTTGTAACAACAGGGTCGTTTTAAGATGGGTTCCGGGTCACGAGGGCTTTGTAGGCAACGAATTTGCCGACAAACTCGCACGGGAGGGCTCAAAGTGCACACAATTTGGACCCGAGCCATTTTGTGGAATCTCAAGAAGCCTAGCCTGATTGACCCTTGAAACTCTTTATCACAATAGATCACTTAAGATCTGGTCTGACACACCAGGCTTAAAACATTTTAAAATACCTTAATCCGGGCTATTGATCGTAAATTCGCTTCAGAAGCCCTGGAATTAAGTAAAAATAAATTGCGCATTCTGGCAAGAGCCCTAACTGGACACTGTTGTCTTAAAAAGCGGATGTCCATCCTGGGACTAAGCAACTCAAGGATGTGTCGGTTCTGTTCCATAACAGAAGAAACACCTCTACACATCCTAACCGATTGCGGACCCTTAATGCGCAAACGTAACACTCATCTGGGACACTATCTACTCCGCCCAGAAGAAGTGAAATTGCTCACGGCTAAGCAACTCCTTCAATTCATTGAAGACATAGGGCTTAGCAGTGAACTATAGCCATAGCAGCGATCACAATAGATCTTCTAGGTCGCAGTGATACTGGTCTCTTTACCTAGACCTGCATAGCTTCTCGCACATAATAAAATAAATACGGTTATTTCCCATTTCAATTTTACGTCGTCCAGTTGCGTAATGTGTATTCTGATATTCTGATCATAAGCGACACAGCTTTCTCGTTCGAAAGCCGAAGCGAGACTGAGCAGGCATGGGCAAGGGAAGGGGGACTTGCTGGCAGAGAACAAGTTTCAGGACGCCGATAGTTTAGGTAATTTCTTTTTACAGTGAAAATAATGGTAATTTAAAAATAAAATAAAAAAAACATACGCCCTGCTTTATAGTTAGTTCAGTTAGTATGCAAAGTTTCATGATCTAATTTAAAGTATTTTATGAATACCGGCGGTTTATTGTTCAGTTTGGAGGTAACTTTGGATTTTTTTTCTATCGAGCAAATCTTACGGAATCGTGTTTTCTTAACATTAATCCTCAATTTTACCATAATATATTTATTTCAAAATTAATGCTGCAATATTTTCGGCATAACGGACGATTTTGCAAAGCTATTTGAGGTGGTATAGGCCCTTAAACCAATCTCAACTTACCGGAAGTCAGCTACCAGCTTACAAAAATGAAATTACGTGAATTGACTACAACAGTATTTCTACTACTGAAGTCTAATCTTTTTTGAGATTGGCCAATGGTTTAATAACATTATACATTAATATATAAAATAATATTTAAAATAATATGATATATTTAGAAATCATGACAAACGTAAAGAAAGTCTTAATCCTTCATCAAAACCGCTTTGGTATTTGTAGACCTTGCAAATACTTGTTTCGTGCAGGATTTGAACCAGCGGCATTCAGAGCCTTAAATCATCGCTGAGCCACTGCGCGAATGAGCCCATTAAACGTCGTATATTGTTTTAATAATAAAAAATAAAAATATAAATTACTTCGCAAACCTTCCGCTAAATAAATGAACAAACAAATGTTTCTAATTCACTTTTGTTAAACATCTTTAAGGCTAATCTTTAATAATTACTTTAAGATTAATAATAATGAATAACTATAATAATATCAATAAAACAATAATAATAATAATAGTATTTAAAAATATTAATTATAACAATAATGATAATTAGTCCGCAGGTTTGTTTCTATCGCACGGCGCGGTCACTCGCTACTTTGGTGGTGAGCGATTGTGTCGGCATTAGGGATCGCAAACCGGGATCCCGAATCTCGAAAATACCGGGATACCGGACAGAAACGTAAGCTTTAAAATACCGGGATTGAGTGAACGGAAACCGGTATTTACGACTATTTCGGTATTTCATTATAAATCTATGCTTTTCGCGTGTTGGATGCTATGGCAACGTGGCTCAACTATGCAACGCAAGTCGCGCGACTACACCCTGGATTGAGTGAGAGAGAGTACCTACTCCCGAGTCCTGAGTCGATGACGAATCCGTCCGCTCGCCCTGTATAGGCGGCGGCTAATGACGGTACCAGTGTAATGATCGCATTTGGAAGAGAAGCAGCATTTTTTCACTAGCGATGCCTTGCTCATGGTATACAGTTCCTAAACTCAACTAAGAGAACTGGAAGATGACGATTCTTATGACTCTGCTTTGGAATGTTATGGAGAAGATTACTATGACGAGGGAATGGCTGGGTGTTACCGTCTGCTTGGGATCCTATAATTAATAAAATTAAATCCCAAAACAAGCATACAATTGCAAGACTTCAAGATACGCCCCTTCTGCGTACATTGTTAACTGAAGGTAGCCGTGTTTAACTATGACACTGGGACGGGAATATAAAATAAATTAAAATACGCAAAAATTTTTCGTAAAATTTAGTTTCATTTAAACTTCTTCAATTCATATAAAAGTAAATTTATAACATTCTTTGCTATCGAATTTAACCTATGAACCAGATTTTCTCCTTCTCTAGAGATATCGCTTTTGGAACCGATGGTAGATTTTAACGTTCATAGAAGTTTTAGATGATCGTAAACTGAAGAATATATATATGACTTTTTCTAGTTACACCATGGATCAAAGAAAACTCTTACTCGATTTCCATGAAAAAAGTGAATAAAAAAAAGATAAGTCGCCCAAGAGCATTTTATGTTTTATTAAAGCTGAGGATAATGAAGAAGTTTATAAGAACATGAAGAAGTAAGCATATGAAGAAGTTACTTAGCAGGAGTACCGTCTGCTTGGGATCCTATAATTAATAAAATTAAATCCCAAAACAAGCATACAATTGCAAGACTTCAAGATACGCCCCTTCTGCGTACATTGTTAACTGAAGGTAGCCGTGTTTAACTATGACACTGGGACGGGAATATAAAATAAATTAAAATACGCAAAAAAAATTCGTAAAATTTAGTTTCATTTAAACTTCTTCAATTCATATAAAAGTAAATTTATAACATTCTTTGCTATCGAATTTAACCTATAAACCAGATTTTCTCCTTCTCTAGATATCGCTTTTGGAACCGATGGTAGATTTTAACGTTCATAGAAGTTTTAGATGATCGTAAACTGAAGAATATATATGACTTTTTCTAGTTACACCATGGATCAAAGAAAACTCTTACTCGATTTCCATGAAAAAAATGAATAAAAAAAGATAAGTCGCCCAAGAGCATTTTATGTTTTATTAAAGCTGAGTAATGAAGAAGTTTATAAGAACATGAAGAAGTAAGCATATGAAGAAGTTACTTAGCAGGAGTATTTTATGTTATTGTTAAGGCTGATTACTGGAGGTTTCTTTTGTTTAAATAGTTTAAAATAACTTAGCAGCAGTGAGTTATTTATTAAACTTTCAATAAATGATTGATTTTTTTTAAATAAACGTGATTTTCTTATCTTAACACACTTTTATTGATTGGCTGACGACAATTCCCTTATGAAAATTAGGGTTACACTACATATTTTAATATTTTTCTCACTATGTTAAAAAAACGAAAATACCGACACTACCGAAATATCGGTATTCATTAAAAACTAATACTGAAAACACCTGTTTTTGAAAAGAGGTCTGGTATTGCGACCCCTAGTCGGTGTGTAGTTTCGGCTCGCCGCTCACTTAGCGGTCAGCCGCCGTATAGTCTACATTACCCGAGGATGCCTCGTGTAGAGGTGAAACACGTGTCGTATTATCGTCGATGGTGTGTCTTACCTGGAATAGTGGTGTTGGGAGTAGTGGTGATGGGACTAGTGGTGACGGAGTTAGTGCATGCAATTGAGGGAGGGCTCCCGGTGCTCTTCAATCCAGGTAAGACACATCATTGTATTTATTTACCGGAAGGTTGCGAAGTAATTTATATTTTTATTTTTTTATTATAATGGATTTCCGCAAAGTAACGCCTGATTCTATCAAGTATATTGTTTTGTTAGTAGTGTGGTTGAAGTAGACTTCGTTAGTTTATCGTATCATTAAACTTAATACTAAACAAGTGGTAAAATTAAAAATTTTGTTCAACCGAATTCCATATAGGTAAATAAAGTGTAAACATCATCAATGTATTTGAAGTCAATTAAATACGTATTATTAAGGATAACTCAAAAACGACTGGTTAGATCTTAATCAAATCTATATGGGACCACATGAGCAGCGCCAGCTTTCAAATAAAAAAAGAATCATCAAATTCCGGTCACCTAGAAAAAAGGTCTGAGGTAACACACAAAAAGAATACAGTCGAATTGAGACCGACTCCAGAATAGGACACGGTCTGGTCTCCGTTTTTGAAGTCGGTTGGAAAAAAACGTTAACTCACTGCGCCAGGGAACCGTCGAATTGGGCACGCCACTATAGCGGCGATAAGACCCCTCTTTGAGGAGTGGCTTGAGAGACGCCACGGCATCCTCACCTTCCGCCTGACTCAGGTCCTCACCGGACACGGTGTGTTCGGGAGGTTCCTGCACCGAATCGGGCGGGAGGAAACGCCCGGGTGATCCCACTGCGAGGATGGACCGGAGGACACGGTGGAACACACCGTGGAGGTGTGCCCTGCTTGGGCGGAGCACCGCCGTGTCCTCGTAGCGGCGATAGGCGGCGGCGACCTCTCGCGTCCGGCCCTGGTCGAAGCCATGGTCCGGAGCGAGACGGAATGGGATGCCGTCACCACCTTCTGCGAAGCAGTGATGCTAGCGAAGGAGGTGGCGGAGCGGGAGAAGGAAAGAGCAGCAGCTTTCCTCCCAGGCCGCCGCGGGAGACGCCCCGGGCGTCGGGGGCTACGTCGTGGCCCCCGGCCACCGTAGGCGCGGGCCTGTGGACGGCGAGCAATGGGTAGCTCGTCGTCCGTCCGTCTAACGACGACAGGCCGTGTCGACGGCGCGTTTTGTTCCACGCGCGCCTCAAGAGCTGTCAGCAGCGTGATGGGGCCCGCAAGGGCCGACGCCTGCCGGGGCTGCGGGCTATTCGAAAGAGATACCGCGGCTCCGGAACGTAAGGGCACTGAAGGAACACGGATGGTTTTTAGTCAGTAAAAGTCTGACACTCCCTTACGCTCCACCCAGAGCGAAAGGGGTCATTAGATGATTTTCCATCCGCAAAAAAAAAAAAAAAAAAAAAAGGGAACCGTCGAACGTATATTTAAAAGTTGGGGGTAGCCTTCGTTAACTATGACATCAGTATTAGACCTAGGACGTAAACAGCGAAGTTCCTCCCGTTACCACATGGAAAATTTATAAAACCTGACAAATAATCTGATTTCCATAGAAAAAAACTGACATTTTGTTATAAACGCGATAAATAAGCATGTAAAAAAATGCAACTCAATTATTTGTTTTGTACATTCTCGCTTATTAATAATATCGCAAATTACACGCCTTCCAGCCAAAAACTTACTGTATTATATTGCAAAATCCTGACATTTTCTAAATCCTAAAAATCCTGACATATGGTATCCCTACTCCTGAGCCAATGGGTGCTGCAGAGCCCGAAGCGTCGGGAAATTAAAAAAAGTTTAATGCGAATAAATCCTAAAATGAATTTTATAAAAAGTATAATAAAACACTCTCCGATTACTGCTCACACTTTTATTACGGCCAGAGGCTTAGGTTTAAACTATAATTTACACTTATTTGGTCTTATTCTATACCTAGTAATCGACACAACCGTCTTCCTCCGCTCCTCCTTACTTAATGCCGTCTTTGCCTCGTGCAACTGACCACATCCCCTCCCTTACTAAAGTGTTGCCATTCTAATAAAATAAATTGATCTTTATTATTACCAAATTAACTAAAAGAAAACAAAAGGTACTCACAGTGACGACAACGGTGAAGCTCGGACAGTGTGGTGGTCCGCTCTGATCCACAATTCTATAACGGACTCGAACGCCCAGTTCGTTCAGCGCCGACATTGGCGACTTGCCCTCGGATTCCACAGCGTCGGCTGCATTCGCGAGGGCCTGCAGATCCTTTGAAGTATATAGTTGTAATGTATATTTTGTTTGTTAAGGATATTTGAAAAGGTGACTGTATGTTCCGAGTTCCTCTGCCTGATTTCCGTAATAAAGATACTACTGTTTGCGACTGGGAACAGCGTCCAAATTAATCAGTCCGGTTCACAGGTTAATACACGTCCTACGTGATTTGCTAAGCCGTGTATAGTTAATTAAAGGAAAGATAATTAATATAAAGTAATTAAAGGATCGTTTAGTTCATCTAAAAAATATAATATATTGGGTCAGTGAATCGAAACCAATATAGGCCCTTAAACGCAGATGGTTAGCGTTCGCTGTACATTTCACAGTACGCGAGCAGAGTTCGATCCCCGCCGGCACCAATGAAATTGTTAATTGCAATTTTAAGGGCTGATTTACCACGCGCTCGGGGGTGAAGGAAAACATCGTGAGGAAACTTGCATGTCAGGGAAATAAGAAAAAAATATTTCTTCAAAGAAATGTGGAGTTCGCCAACACGCACTGGGGCAGCGCGGCGGACAATTGCTTGCCCTAAAACTCTCTCAGAAACGATCGGAAGGCCTGTGCCCAGCAGTGAGACGTATATAGGCTGTAACTTTTTACTTTACTAGATATAAATATGCTAAAATAGTTAATACCTATACAAGTAAATAGAAGAATTACAACCAAATTAAGCCGTTGCCGTTACCGTTACAGCCTATTAGTCTACTGCTAAACCTGCTGCCTCATCGGGGGGTATTTGCCATAGTTGCCACGTTTAACAAGCGGGTTGGCAACCGCAGTTTTTTTTGCCGTTATTAGGAAGACGCTGCTGCCGATCTCCTGATTTGTTTCCCTCACTCTTACGACACTGAGCAATGCGAGCCAGCCGGACCTCGTTGAACAGGCGGGCGAGGGACGGAGAGATCCAGAGAGGGAGACGAGGATCCTCAAATGCAACAGCCGATCCTGGTGATACTTTGCAGAGAAGGGATGAACCTCCTAGAAACATCTCTGCCGGTACATCAGAAGCGACCATAGAAAGCGTAGCAGTAAGCAAAGATGCTAGGAGAAAGTGGTCGCAAGAGAACTTCATGAACTTATGTTCTGTTATTTTAAAGCGAAATCTGAAGGTCCTGGTTACATAAAAAGATTTGAAAAACTGTTCAAAGATAGGAATCCTAATAATCCTAAAACACTAAAATTTACGGGAAACACACTTGCAAACCAAGCTAGAAGTATAATAACTAGGAAATTCTTGTCAACCCAGGTTTTAGACGAAATTAAATCTAGAGTTGAACGAAATATAGCAGTAGCACAGAACATGGCTGATCTCAACCTACTTACATCCACAACTTCACATATAACTACAATATGTGATAGTCCAGACAAACAGATCTCTAATAATCATAACTTGACGGATAACGCACAAAATTCTCATTTATTATCAGATATACTTACAAGGACCCAACCACTTACAACATGTACGGTTTTAGAAACTATTCCAGAACATCAAAATAGATATACATTTGATAGTCCTGATATCAAAGTAGATGACAACCAAGATCCCCTTATTCTGAAATTCCTACAAACTCTTGCGGAAACTAAAGAAATATCTATCGAGAATAGGGATTCCTTACCAAAGGCTAAATTTTGTAAACAGTTTTGCGAAAATTTAAATAAAATTAATAACTTTTTGCCAAAACTTTTAGAGTCGCACCAGTCCTTGAGGGAAATAAATAATATTATCTATGCAGCAGCTAAAACAGTAATCACTGCAAATAATCAAAAAGCAATTACACTTAAGCCGACTAGCCTGACTGCAATAAAATTGAAACAAAATGCATTGTGGAAATTGAGACTACAGAAAAAAATAGAAGATTTTAGAAGAGATTTAGGCAGATAGGTTATCTAATAAATATAATATACGAAATGATCAAGATTTAGACTACACTGTAGAACTAGTTAAACAGAAAATAAAAGCACTGGCTGGACGACTAGGTATGTAAAGTATGACGAAATAAACAATAGAAAATTACAAAATAAGCTGTTTCAAGAAAATCAACATAAACTTTTTAGAAATCTTGATGGTCAGCAACAAATTCCAACACAAACTCCATTAAAAAATGATGTACAACGTTTTTGGGAATCCATTCTATCAAAACCAGTATCATACAATACTGAAGCTCGATGGATTATAATGGAAATAGAAGAGTCAATGGATAAAATAGTAGAACACACGTTTAACGAAGTAAATGAAGATAAAGTAAAAAATGCTTTAAGCGAATTACATAATTGGAAAATGCCGGGTATTGATAAAATACATAACCATTTTCTTAAATATCTTACCAGTACACATAAATACATTGCTCAGTTGTTTAATAGAATTTTGAAAGGAATCGAATCTGTTGAGCAATGGTTTACAACTGGAGTGGTAATATTGATCCCTAAAAATGAGAACACCCTAGATCCAAAGAACTGGAGACCGATAGCGTGCTTACCTGCCATGTACAAACTTTTAACGTTCAAAATTTCCAACGAACTTTACACGCACTGTGACCTGAACAATATTATATCTCCTCAACAAAAAGGTTGCAGGCGTTACGTTAGAGGTTGCAAAGATCATCTCATGATTAATAAGGCTATACTGGAAGATGCACAACAGAACCAGAAAAATTTATGTATGGGATGGGTAGACTATCAGAAAGCATTTGACAGTATACCACACGAGTGGTTACTAAAAGTACTGGATATTTATAAATGCTCACCAACTATCAAAAGATTTCTCCAGATGGTTATGCCCAAATGGAATGTAATCATGACAGCCTCTAGTGCGAACGGCTCTGTTACTACAGATCCCATATACATTCAGCGTGGAATATTCCAAGGAGATTCACTGTCACCTATTTTATTTTGCATGGCTATTAATCCCGTTTCTCAAATTCTCAAAAAATATGAATCTAAAGGATACAAATTAAAAGACAATACTACGATTAACCATTTATTATATATGGATGATTTAAAAATATATGCTAATAATAAAAACAATCTTAGAGTGTTAATAGACAATATAGAAATTTTTACAAGAGACATAGGAATGACCTTCGGATTAAGTAAATATAACATTATGCATATGGTAGCAGGTAAAAGAAGAGAAAATCAAGGGTCGGGTCATATATTACTAAACGGCAACGAATTTGAATACTTGAAAGCGGGAGAACAATATAAATATTTAGGTATGAATGAAGCGGGTAAAATAAACCATAACGAAGCTAGACAACAATTACAAAAAGAATACTTCCGTAGAGTATAATGTATTTCTAAATCTCATCTTAACGCTAGAAATCTACTTAAGGCAATAAACTTATACGCAGTCCCAGTACTCCTTTATTCATTCGGTGTTATAAACTACAAAAATACTGATTTAAGAAAAATTGATATAAAAACGAGGAAAATTTTAGCAATGAACAAGGCGCACCAACCAAAAGCAGAAATTGAAAGACTTTATTTACCGATTGAAGGAGAGGGGCGGGGGCTGACTAATATAGAAGTGCTTTATAAAACCCAGATAATAAAATATAGAAAGTATCTAGAATCAAGTAATGATTACATTTTAAGAGCAATATTAAAACACGATAAAAATAGTTAAAAATAAAATAAAAGTTTTCATTCAGATGGTTTAAAACACAAAAAATAACTCCAGGATTGGAGTCATTTATTTTTGCTATTCAGGATCAGGCAATTGTAACAAGACAATATGAGAGAGATATAATTCAGAAACCTGTAGATGGGAAGTGTCGACTATGTCTAACGAAAGATGAAACAGTACAACATATTATATCAGGATGTGAGAAAATGGCTGGCACTTACTATACTAAGAGGCACAATAATATTGTACAGTACGTGTTCTGGACCTTAGCAAGAAAGCACGGATTTAGCGTAAGCAAAATGTGGTGGAAAGAACATATGTCGCAACCACTAGTAAGCGAAAATAATACAGCCAAACTAATGTGGGAAATGCCGGTTCAGATATTACAATAAAGCATAACCGGCCTGATATAATTTATATAAATAAAATTGAAAATAAAACGTACCTTATCGATACTACCGTACCGTCTGATTACAATATAGGAGCGAAGGAAATAGAGAAACTTAGTAAATATCATGCACTAAGAACTGAAATAACCAGGCTTTGGAAAACACCTACTGAAGTTATACCAATAGTGGTTGGGGCCACAGGAATGATCGCTAAAAGCCTACATGAATATTGCAATAAGCTAGACTCCCATATCAACTTAAACGTTATACAGAAGCAAGCAGCAATTCATTCGGTAACAATATTGTCCAAAGTTTTAGGTAATTCTATATTTGTTAGTTATGAGTCTGAGCCTACCTCTCCCTAAGGTTCATGGGCGGGGGCTTGGAAAATACCGGGTTTATCTCGAGCAATAAACAAAAAAAAAATAATAATAATAGTGTTTAAAAATATTAATCATAACAATAATGATAATTGTCGCAGGTTTGTTATCGCACGGCGCGGTCACTCGCAAAGGCTACTTTGGTGGTGAGCGATTGTATCGGCGTGTATAAATAGCAGCTGTTTCGGCTCGCCGCTCACTTAGCGGTTAGCGGTCAGCCGCCGTAGAGTCTACATTACCTGAGGATGCCTCGTGTAGAGGCGAAACACGTGTCGTGTTATGGTCGATGGTGTGTCTTACCTGGAATAGTGGGGTTGGGAGCAGTGGTGATGGGACTAGCGGTGACGGAGTTAGTGCATGCAATTAAGGGAGGGCGGGAGGTGCTCTTCAATCCAGGTAAGACACATCATTGTATTTATTTAGCGGAAGGTTGCGAAGTAATTTATTTTTTTATTATAATGGATTTCCGCAAAGTAACGCCTGATTCTATCAATATTTAAATACCTATTAATTTTACCACTAGGTAAAATTAAAAATTTTGTTCAAACGAATTCCATATAAATAAAATGCAAACATCATCAATGTATTTGAAGTCAATTAAATACGTATTATTAAGGATAACTCAAAAACGATGGTTAGATCTTAATCAAATCTATATGGGACCACATGAGCAGCGCCAGCTTTCAAATAAAAAAAAGAATCATCAAATTCCGGTCACCTAGAAAAAAGCTCTGAGGTAACACACAAAAAGAATACAGTCGAATTGAGACCGACTCCAGAATAGGACACGGTCTGGTCTCCGTTTTTGAAGTCGGTTGGAAAAAAACGTTAACTCACTGCGCCAGGGAACCGTCGAACGTATATTTAAAAGTTGGGGGTAGCCTTCGTTAACTATGACATCAGTATTAGACCTAGGACGTAAATAGCTAAGTCCCTCCCGTTACCACATGGAAAATTTTTAAAACCTGACAAATAATCTGATTTCCATAGAAAAAACCTGACATTTTGTTACAAACGCGATAAATAAGCATGTAAAAAAATGCAACTCAACTATTTGTTTTGTACATTCTCGCTTATTAATAACATCGCAAATTACACGCCTTCCAGCCAAAAACTTACTGTATTATATTGCAAAATCCTGACATTTTCTAAATCCTAAAAATCCTGACATATGGTATCCCACTCCTGTGCCAATGGGTGCTGCAGAGCCCGAAGCGTCGGGAAATTAAAAAGTTAAATGCGAAAAAATCCATAAAATTAATTTTATAAAAAGTATAATAAAACACTCTCCGATTACTGCTCACACTTTCATAATGGCCAGAGGCTTAGGTTTAAACTATAATTTACACTTATTTGGTCCTCCTGGTTCCTCCTTACTTAATGCAGTCTTTGACTCGTGCAACTGACCACATCCCTTCCCTTAATAAAGTGTTGCCATTCTAATAAAATAAATTTACCAATAAAAAGTCAATTGCCTAAATGAACTATGTTAAATGATCTTTATTATTATTAAATTAACTAAAAGAAAACCTAACAAACAGTTACTCACAGTGACGACAATGATGAAGCTCGGACAGTGTTCTGGTCCGCTCTGATCCACTATTCTATAACGGACTCGAACGCCCAGTTCGTTCAGCGCCGACATTGGCGACTTACCCTCGGATTCCACAGCGTCGGCTGCATTCGCGAGGGCCTGCAGATCCTTTGAAGTATATAGTTGTAATGTATATTTTGTTTGTTAAGGATATTTGAAAAGGTGACTGTATGTTCCGAGTTCCTCTGCCTGATTTCCGTAATAAAGATACTACTGTTTGCGACTGGGAACAGCGTCCAAATTAATCAGTCCGGTTCACAGGTTAATACACGTCCTACGTGATTTGCTAAGCCGTGTATAGTTAATTAAAGGAAAGATAATTAATATAAAGTAATTAAAGGATCGTTTAGTTCATCTAAAAAATATAATATATTGGGTCAGTGAATCGAAACCAATATAGGCCCTTAAACGCAGATGGTTAGCGTTCGCTGTACATTTCACAGTACGCGAGCAGAGTTCGATCCCCGCCGGCACCAATGAAATTGTTAATTGCAATTTTAAGGACTGATTTACCACGCGCTCGGGGGTGAAGGAAAACATCGTGAGGAAACCTGCATGTCAGGGAAATAAGAAAAAAATATTTCTTCAAAGAAATGTGAAGTTCGCCAACACGCACTGGGGCAGCGCGGCGGACAATTGCTTGCCCTAAAACTCTCTCAGAAACGATCGGAAGGCCTGTGCCCAGCAGTGAGACGTATATAGGCTGTAACTTTTTACTTTACTAGATATAAATATGCTAAAATAGTTAATACCTATACAAGTAAATAGAAGAATTACAACCAAATTAAGCCGTTGCCGTTACCGTTACAGCCTATTAGTCTACTGCTAAACCTGCTGCCTCATCGGGGGTATTTGCCATAGTTGCCACGTTTAACAAGCGGGTTGGCAACCGCAGTTTTTTTTGTCGTTATTAGGAAGACGCTGCTGCCGATCTCCTGATTTGTTTCCCTCACTCCTACGACACCCACCGGACCCGGATATTAATGCCATTGGAAAGGTAATTATAAGAAGATTGTCACTGAAAAATTTAAACAAGTACTCATTGAGTAGATTATGGAATATATTACACGACCATTTAAAAAAAAACAATGAGCAGTGGGCAGTGGTGTCATAATAAATCCTACCATAACCCTACAATGTTTGTTAGTCGATACTGTGTTTAGACTTCACTTCTAGATTAAGAATAACAAGATATTGTCAATGTCAAGTTATACTCCGTAACAAGCTTTATCTATCATTGAAAAAATTTTATACTTAAGTAAACCAGCGTTGCTGAGTTCACAGTAATAAAAAAATGTGTAGTAATTACATTAGATAAGTTGATAATTGTGAATTTGTTTGTGGTCCGAAGTTTAATAAATAAATAAAAAATTACAAAAATAAGTTATTGTTGGTTGGATCTTTTTTTGCATAACTACGTCCAACTATAATGTCAAACTCTAACGCATGTAACACAAAGTGGTAGGCAGAGATTACGGACTTCCGTTTGGCACGATTCCCGATACAACTCTCTCGCTTTTTCCACATCCATCTATGAACAAACGCATAGTCGTTCTTAAGGGTACTCTAAATTTGACCAATCTCTAATATATCGCTAATTGGGTTGATAAACTGCCGCCTAATGCGTCCCTCACCGACTCCACCATTCACTTCTGCTACATTAATGTGCTTTGTCCCTCTTTCCTCATTCATTATTTCTACGTTTCCAAATCACCGAAGGATTCCTTTCATGATCCCGGTCCCCATCTTCTTGAAAGCCACACTTGTCTCCCATCACACGGTGTTGCAATGTCCTGCCTGAGTGCATCGCCGCTCAATTTGATTGGGAGACGCGTCATTACACCACAAGCCCGCGCTCACTTTACTGAGGACTTAACTTAAGATAGGTACTTAATTTTAATTCTAAAAATTATTTCCACATATAATTACACAAGAACAAATAACTTCGTTACTATGTAGGTAAATATCACCCCTAAAATCTAGATATGTTGTATTAGGGCTCTAACACAACACTGTGAATCGATGAAATATTACAAGAATCTATAGCAAGAATACGGCATTGATTTTATTATGCATTATCACACCACATAGTTGTGTAAGAGCCCTTTAGACCATATGCTAACACTGAATCCACTTGCGCCCTCCTTTCTGCCAAGGAGGGTCGCGTCCGTTTACGACTTAAAGATCTCTCGTCAGATCGTTAAGCCAATCCCACAAGGTGGTGTTTAGTGGGTAAAAGTCTCCACATAACCTCGCAGCCGGCTGTGTGGTATGCTATGAGCATTCACCACCTCCCTCCCCCGTTACCTGAGGTTGCCCTTATTTGCTTCGGGCGCAAAAAAATTTCAATAAATACAAAAAGTTTTAATAATAACATTTACTCACCAAGTCGGCCAATGCATCTGAAAAGAAAAAGAAAGTTCAAATAATTTTACAATTTATTTATACTAACATAAATGCTACTTGTTAATCATATAAAATTTTATCAAACAAGATGAAATGTTACATATTTCGACCTGTTTTAGGAAATTCACAGCTTTATCGTCACGAGATGAATGTTTCACTCATTAAAGGTGAGATAAGAATAACTACAAGTTAACAAGCCCAATAGTTGAAGCAGTAATTAACTAAATTAATAATACTCAAACAGGAACAGAAACTTTTTGATTCAACATAGATTATAAATAATACTTATTGAAAGTCACTCTCTCATTTAATTTACTACTGGTTCAGAAAGGAACCTCTGTCCTGGAAAGAACCAGCAAAACCCAGCGGGAGAATGAAGAAATGCATAAAAAATCTTTAACAAAAAGACAAAAATTCAACTTTCCCTCCATTTAGGCTACAGAGTGTGCTAGAAAAGTATACATATATCAAACATACATACACTTGAAAAATATTTCCCTCCTACTATAGGAGTTGGGAAAAAAAGTTTTTTTATAAACAAGTGGTAAAATTAAAAATTCTGTACAACAAATTTCAATATAAATAAAATGAGAACATCATCAATGTAATCGACGTCAATTAAATTACGCATTATTAAGGATAACTCAAAAACTACTCATCTTGATCAAATCTATACGGGACCACATGAGAAGCACCAGCTTTAAAATAAAAAAATTATCATCAAAGTCGGTTCACCTAGAAAAAAGTTCTGAGGTAACAAATAAAAATAAACAGTTGAATTGAGAACCTCCTCCTTTTTTGAAGTCGGTTGAAAACAAAGAACTTGGCTTGCCTCAAACATTTATTAATTACAGACTATCAAAAGTCCACTGCTGAAAATAAACTTCACAATTTAACGTCCCTTACCTTACTTCCATTAAGACCGATTTACACTTCGACAAGTACCTACGGTAGGGAGTTAACTTGCGAAGCTGGCGAGTTCAGTAGAAAATCTCGTTTGAACTGCAATAAGCGAGTTAAGTAGCAAGTTAACACTTAGTTGAACGGGATAGTCGGCCGGGCTATTTTTCGGCGAGTTAAGTACGAAGTGTTACCCTCCCGCGCATCTCCCGCCACCCGCAACTAAACTCGCCGTTCGTTGTGAACGAGCGAGTTTAGTTCAGTGATTGAGTTAAAATAACGCAACGTTCGCGCGCCAAAACGTATTTGTAATTTTGTACTTTTATAATTAAACTCGCCACAAAATTTATACGGTATTGTTTATTGAATATTTATACGTTTTATATTGAATTTGAAAAGTGAAATGGACGGAAGATAACACGTATAATTTGGTAGAAGAGTATTTAGAACACAAATGTTTATATAATTGTAGAGTTCAAATTATAAAATTAAACCTGCTCGAGATGCTGCATTCATAAAAATTCTTAAAAACTTCTTTAACAACAACCAGTAATATTTCTCTGACTATGACTATATCACTTAACTCTTGACATAATCTTAGATCCATCTTAAACAACAAGAAAAATTACGTCACACTCAAATGAACTTTATGAACTAATGACCTTAACTAAACTCGCCACGGAGATATTGTTTGAACGCTACTGCTGTCGCGAACGCGATTTCAATGTGGGCAGAATTAATGTTGGTAAGAGGACAACACTGGTTGAGAGAGGGGGAAGTGACTTAAATGTTAGTGTCGAATTAAGAGTCAGTTTGAAGTTGTGGTTCGAAGGAGACACTACTCTCCAGCAAGAGTTACTGTTGCATCATGGCAAAGAGATATTGGTAAGTGTATTATAATAATAATATCTTACGGCATTTCATATTGTTGAAACGTTACCTAGATGTGGAGGCTAAGGGAGAGCTGTAAGAGGTGGTTGGAGGCTCCTCAGGGACAAGAGGTCCCGACAAAGAGATATCTGGTAACAGATATTCACTAATACAGAATGTAAGGATATATATATACGTGTCCTTCATGTAGGTCAATCGCATAAAGAATACCTAATTCGAACTTGGGCAATAACCAATTCGCGATGGAATGATAGGTCTTTGCGACAACTGCCCACTTAACCATTTACTGTCAACTGCCCTGTAACCAAACTCGCTACTGTACTTGTCGAAATGTGAATCGGTCTTAAGATTGCAGTAATGAATTAACGAAAATGAAAAAACAAAGCATGAAAATATCATGAAGCATGGTTGGAAACAATTTTGTTTTTTTTTTTAAAAATCGAATAAAGTACGATTTTTTTTAAACCCCAAATAGTCACAACTTTTTTATTTCTTCATTTTATTATTTTAATTTAACTATATTTATGCGTAAAACGAAACGCGCCCTAAAGGGATTGTGCGGACTCAGCGCTGGGATTTCCTTTCTGCTATCATGTTTTATTACTTTGATAAAAAAAGACGTGTGGCACTCGGGGACTGCCGCGGTAAAGCTATTGCGTAGCATTTTGTATCAACTTATGCAATTATAATTATTTATTTATTTTATTTATGCAGTATTTCTTTTTCTTTGATATTAATTCAAGTTACACTTTTTGAGCGTGGTGACCGATAAGAAAACAATTATTTTCTTTTATTAAATAAATAAATAATAAATGCACTTTGTTCATTCATATTCAAAACACTTTATACACAAATTTTACAAGTACAGCTATTCACTGTTGTACATAAAAACTTGGGTATACACCTATATACTTTCTCATAAACAGTTGCTTATGTATTCGTCCGATTTCGGAGCAGCTCGTCTCGATTCGTGCGAGCTTCGTAGAGTCGTACAATACGTCTAGTTGCACGCACACAAACACCGCGTCGAAGACTGCCGAAAAGAAACGACGTTAGACAATGCACGGCCTTCAAGCCACACCTCCGTGCCCGTCGGAGTGGGGAGCGTGAGGTTTTTTCGTTACGGAATTTCTGGATTCGTGTCCTGCGCTCAAGGCCCGCGATAGAAGCTATGCAATAGCTTAAAAGCTATGCAATAGCTTAATAATTAACATTTTTTTATTTTATTTAGGATATTATCTAGAATAACAACAGCGCTACAATATTATTGCAAACAAAATTTTACAAATAAATATTAGAAAATTTGGCCAATAACAGCTATTCACATTTATTTAAATCAAATTATAATTGCTTAAGAAGCCAAAATAACGTGATTAATCAATTAAATAAAGGAGAACCAACTTTATAAGAACATAAAAAGGATAATATGTATTATCTAAAAATACATAGTAACATAAAATTATTATTTATAGTCAGGAAATTTCAACAATTTATTCCTGTGTATTCCAGGAGATAAGATCCCTCTTCTGCCAGATTCTATATTAGAGATGTTACATAGGTTCGATTCCGATTCCTAAAGTTCGGAACTTCCGATTGACTGCACTTTCGATTCCGATTTCAGTTTCGATAATTTTAATCGGAAGTTATATCGGAGGTTGCTGCATAGCGGCAGTAGCGGCCGCTATCAGCGCATACGAACAAGTTTAAACTTGTCGCTTGGAAAACCTCGCTGAAATGATTGCTTTACAAAATCTTCCCTTCAATTTTGTGGAAAGTATTGCATACAGACGACTTATGCAGTTCATAATTCCGAATTATTAACTGATAATTCGGAATTATGAACTGCATAAGTTGTAGGCATAGACAGTTTTTTACTGAATATATATGTGATGTAATGTGTGTAATTTTATTTTAATAGACGTGCCCTTAACACATACCTATCTCTTCTGCCTACACCTCCGATTTCAGTTCCGGTTCCGACAAACCAAATTTAAAAAATCTGCTTCCAAATTAAGTTCCGATATAAGTAATTCCGTAACATCCCTAATCCATATTATATAACCTTGTTACCTATTGCAGTCACCAAATACCTTTTTTTATAGGATAGGGTGACAAACATGCACACAGTCCACCTAATGGTAAGTGGATGCTGCGGCCCATACACATCTACATCTATCCTCGATTACGAATTAAAATGCAGATGCGTTGTCAACCTTGAGGATAAAGACGGAATGCCTCGCCTCCAGTAAAAGGGCCTCTGGTTCGCTACACGCACCATACGAAACACAGCAGCATTAAGCTACTATATCACGCTGGTATTCTGTGAGAGCGTGGTCCTTCCCCGGTCGAGTCGACCCATTCGTGCTACAACTATACTAAACTAATATAACTGCAGCATGGCTCTCTACCACTTATATAATACCTTGCTAGCACTGCTGTGTTCCAGTATGAAGAGTATAAAGAGCCAGTACGATTACAGATTGGGAGGTATTCCATTTTAGTCCTTAGGGGTGACAACACATTTATAGCCATCATTGTATGAAGCTGGCTAAATGTGTCTATGGAGTGCAGTAGCCGCTTACCATCAAGTGGACTGTGGGTTTGCTTGTCAGTTCGATTTCATTAAAAAAAACCAGATTCAACAACACCTATTTCGCTAAGTCTTTGGTTACTTGTGTTTTCAAAAACTAGCACTAACAATATAATAAGTTTGAAGGTAGGTATTAATAAGTTATTTATAAAGAAAATTTAAGCAAAATACATCCAATTAACACATGTTAAAGGTAAAATAGTTGCTCAGTACTGTGCTTTATAGTATATATAAGGGAAAGCATATGTGGGGCAGAGAGTTATAATGATGCTGGTGATAAAAGGTTTTATCTATATCTATATTATTTATATTTGACAACTATGTGATGCAGTAGCTTAGCTGAGTTACAGCGCTAAGGGTCGCAAGTTCGAATCCCGCATGGATCAAGTATTTGTGTGGCCTACAATTGTTCCGGGTATAGATGTTTGTCCTTGTGAAATTTATGTTTGTAAACTGCCCCCACAATACAGGAAATCCTAGTGTGGAAGTATGGTTTTTTTTTTTTGAATTGAAAAAAATAAAAGGGAAATCACAGCCAGTTTACGTCCCTGTGATGGCCACAGGCCCTCAAAGGGGAGAGTTCAAGGTGCTACCAAAATACTTGTTGGTGGATCA